AGTCGATTTCCCCATACATTTATAGATTTCAGCCATATAATGTATGTAAAAAAATCGATATCTATCGAAAAAAGCTGCCTTATATAGAATCGATTGTTGATAATAAATTTGAATCAGGGAAAAACATAATACCCCAATCCCGAGAATCGCCCTCTGAATTTGTTCCTATCAAGAGACACGCAAACTTCCGTACACCTCAAACATCCCCTCTGACATGTCCATTCCAGTTTTGAGAGGACACTTTAAAGGCTTTCTAACGCCACTCGAAGCCGCGGAAAAGGCAACCAACGTCACTCCGAAGCTTTCACCGGCCAATATGTACCTCCATATCTCCACAAAAGCCTCCCCTCACCCCCCCACCCTCTCCCCCCCATTGAACAGGACCGCGAGTTCATGAAAGGAGTAAACCGGCACAGGTGAACCATTAGTAAACACAGGCACACTCTTCGGCCAGGTTTAGAATAAACAAACAGCTATATTGGCCCGGCAGCAAGTTCGTATAGTACGCCACCGTAACTTCCTCGTTCCTGTTGAACCCCCCTCCCCCATCCCTCCACTTACCCCCACCCCGCCCTTATCGATCTGGCGAGGAATCTTTTCATGCAAACTCAATACTTAATGCCGTGAGTCAATATTGACTCCGGCTAAATTCCACTGCCAAAATAAACACAAATACGGTGTAAAATAAATGAGCCCCCCCCATCCCTCCCCCCTGGCGCGGGGCCCGCCTTTTAGCCCTCTCGGCTCCGCGCGACCCTCCCCTAGCTCGCGTTTCTTTCGGGTCTTAATTAATGCGCCCTCAACCCTTCCGTCCGTACACGGTGGCTCCGCGTTCGTAAAAATGACGGATGTCCCGTTGTAAATAAATGGCCGGTCCGTTGTTTTGGCGCGCGTGGCTGTGTATATATTATTCAAAATGTTTGGCTATCGCGTTAAGAAACATGTGGTGTGATCGTTCACGGGCCTCCGAACAACGGACTTACGTTTGTTTGGGTTGTGCTAATGTTTTGCATGCAATACCCTCGTAGCTTGACAGGTCGAGGTGTGAAATAGACTCGCATCAGTGTTTAACCCCTGTCGTCTCGAATCGGAAGGAGAAGAAATTTAGAAGAATAAGAGAAAGGAGAAAATAAAAAAGTGGTGGAATTCGTTTATTTTACAGAGGTGCCTTGGAAAATTGGGACATTCACACCTGTTCAGAAAACGTTTGAAAGAACACGTTTTGTTACGAGAGAGAAGAAAAAGAAGATGCAAAAATGGAGCAAGAGAGACAAGAGGAAGAGAAAAATCAGGGGAAAAAGGAAAATTTGTATTTTCTATAGATTTTCTTCCTTATTATTCTTCTTCTTCTAATTTTAGTTGTAATTTCTTCTCTTATTCCTCCTTTTCTTTAAATTCCTTTTACTCACATTGCTCTTCCTCTTGTCCCTCCTACTCTTCCATTATCGTCCTCTTTTTCCTCCCCTAGCCTTGAATGGGTGGGGGGAGGGGGTGACTATCAAATTTCACGCCACAGAAATTTTGCATCAATCTTGGAGCATTTGGCAACTTTCGCAAAGATGAGTAGTGGTGGTAGTAGTACACTGAAAAAAAAGTAGTTAGCGTTGAGAACTAATTTGGTTGGTTCTCGCCAAGTAGAATCAAAATTAGGCTTCAGAACTAATTTATTGTACTGAAGCACCAATCAATTCGCTTCATACGCTGACTTGACTTTACTAGAGCGCGAACCAGAATTGGAAAACAGCACTAGCTGTAAAATTAGCGCTGTGGTAAGTCAAATTCACCTTCGGGTCAAACTAATTCGCCCTCAACACTAACTGCCACATTGTCCGTTACATTTATTTAGTTTCGAAAAAGTGGCGTCGGTACAACAGCCTCAATCGCGTCAGCTCGTGAAAATAAATTAAAATGTGAAATTTCGGGCTCGTTTGACAATGTAAATACTCCCGGTATGATTTATAGTGTCCTCTCTTTCTTGAAAACGTTCGAAAGCAACATAAATAAACCTGTTAAGGTTAGAAATCGTCTGTTCAATTCAAAACGTAAACAAGCATGATATTCGTTGGAGTCGTCAATCTTCTATATTAAATTGCGATTAAAGCGTTCCGCGTTCAGTTTATATTTTTACGAAAATCTGTGAACTTACTGCTTACTTCTATAGTTCGTGTTCTCCCGTAATTTCAAAAGAATATCTCAAGTGTTCGGGCGCCGACATCGGTTGGTCCAGTGGTTAGCGCAACTGATCACAGACCTAGATGTCCCGGGTTCGAATCCCGGCCTCGGTGGCAAGATTTGATGGTCTCAGATCTTGTCACCGTGGAGTGGCATGGATGTTTCTCTTCGTTTCTTCCTTCGTTTCTTCCTTTGTACTTCTGTTTCTACTGTTGTTGTAATCTTCCCATCATTTAGCGGTGGCTGTTTGTCTACACGACTAAGGCCAATGAACTATACCTAGAGTGCGCAAGCTCTCAAAAACAAAAAAAAAAAAAACAAAAAAAATCTTCTTTTCCTGAAAGTATTGTCCAGTTATCATTCGCTAAGCCGTTTTCTCCTCTCTCAGTTTTGAGGTTAGGTTGACCCAACCCTACCGAATGCGAATTAGAGTAGCGGAATTAGTTTCCAGCACTAATAGTGGTTAGTGTACAGAAACCAAAAATCATGTGTGTCCAAATCACACAATTTGAGTTAGTGTGTAGAAACCATTTTTAGTCATTTGACGCTAACTCATTTTTTTCAGTGTAGACAACGGTGAACGGTGAGGAAGTTGAGCATCATAAGCGACGGCAGGAGATAAAATCAATTATACATCTAGTAATTACTGTGCGTGTTTAAGTGATTTTTCAACGATGTTGGTGAGTTCCAACGCGGTCGCGATAATCGGCTTTCCACGCTTACCGCAGCGCGAACAGCATTTACCTCCCCTCGCCCCCTTCTTTTTTCAATAACACACCATGGCGTCTTCTCGTTGAGGCCAACCTGTTGCCAACCTTTCCGCAAAAAAATCGCATGTCTTTTATACCGACTGAAAGCATTTCAAAGTTTAAACTGCATCACTCTATTTAACAGGGTGGGCGGATAAAAAAATTCTCGGAATCGTTTGCGGCTTAAGGTGAAATTTATTTAGGTAAAAATGATTAATATTCGTCTAAATTACATCAAAAGATCTAAAAATCTCTAATGGCGGTGTGCTTCAGAATGAGCAAATTTTTAGCGAGTATCATGGTTTTCATGCGCTCAGCCACTCGCATTTGTCGGTACGCCTACTTTTCTGCACTGCGTTAAAGTCTCTGAAGTGATTCCTGCACTTTTACTCAGCGATCGAATTATAGTAACATGCCTCAATTTTTTTTTTTTTTCTTTTTTCATAATGCTCCTCTCATTCCAACTCTAGCTTTATCAGTAGAAACAGAACTGCAACTAACATAAGAGCTTCTGTGCAACATCAGGCAACCAGAGAAGAAGGGCTTGGTTCTAGTTCCAAGCTCTTATCACCTCAGAACTTCGTATTTCATGTAGTTTATGAACTTTGTGTTCTTATGTATTCGAAAGTGCAACCATGTTTAACCCGCATAAACCGGAGGCGTAACTCCCAGAACAAGGAATAAAATTTGAAATTATTTCTTTCTTTCCATAATTCAAACCCTCAGGCATTTTTATTACTCTTACCGGCGAGCCTGCTGACAATTCCTGTTTCCACTGCAGATTGATAACCCATATTTACTGCAGGGAATAGAGATGTTGCATGTGTGAGGAATTTGCGATATGACTATTGATTCTAATGTGAAAGTTCGCGAGAAACACGATGGTGCCACTGGTTTTCTCTGAAATCATCTTTCAAGCTCAAAAAAGCTCTAAAGTTGAGGACAAAATGGAGGGGATATCCCACGCTATCCTGAGAGTCCACTTCCACATCAAGACAACTCTCCATGCAAAGATAGGGAACAAATACTTTAGCAGGGTTGCCGTGATTTCAGTTTTAGAGTCCCCAAATAAAGTGGCAGCCCTGTCAATGTATTTGCTCCCTATCTTTGCATGGAGAGTTTGTCTTGATGTAGAAGTGGACTCTCAGGATAGCGTGGGATATCCCCTCCATTTTGACCTCAACTTTGAGAGTTTTCTTGAGCTTGGGGGTTGATTTCAGAGAAAACCAGTGGCATCATCGTGTTTCTCTCGAACTTTTACAGAAAAATCAACATAGTCAAATCGCAAATTCCTCACGCATGCAACATCTCCATTATTACTACTCCTTGACACAGTGACACATGGAAGAACTCAGTTTTCTCAGATGTCTAGATTGGGCCTGTTGCAAACTTTTGCTAGAGCAAAACTAAGAGTTGTTTCTTACAGATAATGCCTCCAAAATCACGATGAGCGCATCGGCAAAGTCTGAAATACACTCATAACTTCCCAATCTGCGTAAGAAATTTGCGGTTTTTTGAGCTTCCCGCTTCGAAAACGATACTACAGTACAGGTGAACATTTTGTTAGAGGAGTCGTTCCATTGGCGGCAATACTCATCATGGCCGACGCCGCGCCAGTCCGCCAAAACACGTGTGATGGGACGAGATAACATCTGAACAGGATTAAACCAGATAACAATTGGCGTGTTTACGTTTATATTTTCCTCGCCCGCCTTAATTGATCTTGAACTCTCCTCGAATTATTCGCGGAACTGTGCAAGCGTCGGCCATGATGAATATTGCCGACGATGGAGGGACTCATCTAACAAAATGTTCACCTGTGCAGTAGTATCGTTTTTGAAGCGGGAAGCTCAAAATAACGCAAATTTCTTACGCAGATTGTGAATTTATGAGTGCATTTCAGACTTTGCCGATGCGCTCATCGTGATTTTTGAGGCATTATCTATAGGAAACAACTCTTCATTCTGCTCTAGCAAAAGTTTGCAACAGGCCCTTTATTTCTTTTGTGCATTTTGAATTTTTGGGAGATACGGTGCCTTTTCGGAGATCCTGTCACGTATTTTCTCTTATGATTCGCAGGCTGTTCGCGGTGAAGCGTTGCGGGAAATGCCAGGCCGGGATCGCCTCGAACGAGCTGGTGATGCGGGCCCGGGACGAGGTGTACCACCTGCACTGCTTCGCGTGCGCCTCCTGCGGGGTGCTCCTGACCAAAGGCGACCACTTCGGGATGCGCGACGGCCTCGTCTACTGCCGGCCCCACTACGAGATCCTCCGGCACAGGGACTACTGCGGCCCGGTCGAGCTCGAGGCCCTGTCGCCCTCCCACTGGACCGGCGGCGGCGGCACCACCGGCGGACTCCCCAACGTCCAGAAGGGACGACCCCGCAAGCGAAAGCTCAACTCCCCGTCCAGCGATGACGCCGACATCACGCTCAACATGCAGCTCAACAGCGGCGCTCTCGGTCAGTTCAAAACTCATTAGACTATAGTTGAGACTTCAAAAGGTATTCTTGGATTGGATTTTGCAAAATGGAACCAAGAGCATTTCAATGTTGCTAAGATTGAGTAATATCTTTTGTCTTGCATGGAGGAAAACCTGATTATCTACAGTGGAAAAAAAAAACACATTGGATCTAGAGTCCAGACTCTTAAAAACATCGACAGGAGAAAATACTCTTGATTCAATCGAATTTTTGCTTAGATCATGAACCAATAAGCCTCTTTATTTGAGAGGATCTCCTTTTGATTTAAGCAAAAATCTGATTGAATCAAGAGTATTTTCTCTTGTCAATGTTTTCAAGAGTCTGGACTCTAGATCCAATGTGTTTTTTTTTTCCAGTGTATAAAAATGTTCTATTTTACACGCTAAAACTGTAAATTTTAGACAAAAATGTTTATATAAATATATTATTTTTACATGATTACATAAGTTTTATGGTAAGGGTGAAGTTGCACAATCTAAGCAACATGGCAATGCTCCTGGTTCCTTTTTGCAAAATGCAATCCAATTAATCCTCGACTCTAGCAAGAAGTCCATTCAGAGCCGCATGTAGAGAAAGTCCCTATCCACAAGGGAAGTTTTAAAGTAGCACCGGGGAGAGAAACGAACATTATACGTAATGCGTTGGTGTTGTGAGCGACATGACAGTCTAATCGCCTTCAGTTTTCTGCTTATGCAACACGAACAACGCAGGAGCATGGATAGTTGTGGGAGATTCGTTGAACGTCGCTAAAGCGCTTACTCGTTCTTAAACTGAGGAAGGGACCCTGAGTACCTGTAATTATTTGATTCGTTACCCGCAAGTGCAGTGCCGTTTCATAGAGAGATATTAGCCACTAAAAGCTAGAAGAAGAGATTTCCAATTTCTGAAACAGAGTTCCTGATTTTCTCGAAATTGTTCATGCCCTGATACATACCATATTTCCCAGAAGAGCTATTTTTTAAAAAACAAAATTCGTATCAAAATTACCCATTTGCTAAATACAATCTTAACTCAAGCTTACTTTAACTACACTGTTAGGACTCCAAAAATGACACAGAAAATCCGACAAGGCCAGCCTGGAGGCTACTTTAATGTTAATATTCTGTGGCGTTGGTAAGATGCAATGATACAAGTATTCGCACTCTCCGGAATGCGGGAGGTATTACGCCACAATTGAAGGCGTTTGCAAATCTGCCAAGTTTCGATATCGGGACTGTCCTGCCGTGATAGCGAAGAGAGCAGTAAGTGCAAAAATGAAGTTTTGAGAAAACGGGCGCAGAAGCATTAGATCGGAAAATTTTATTGACAGAAACCTCCATTCTTTTTCAAACTGCCACTAATCGTCCGAAAGACTCCTAGAAATTGTTTGGATGAATAAAAATCGACTTTAATTTCAATTACATAAAAAGGGTATTTTTCATTTATATGCTAAGTTATTGTTAGGCAAGACAGCCGTAAGTGCTATAGTACATTTCTTCCATCACTTTCCCGTGATTCTAGCGCGTGTCAAAATAAGGTTTTCCTGGGAATTAAACTCTTAAATATTGAATAACGGGGCAGAATAGGCAACTATATGTGCATCGCCGTTGAGATTGCATACTCGGCTGGATGAAGGCGTCCTTTCCGCCGTGTCCAAGAAAAACTTGGTGTAATAGTAGGGTTATCCTGGGAATTACTGTTCTTAAAAATTGAATGACGGGACAGAATAGGCAACTATATGCGCATCATCGTCAGAGATTGCATACTCGGCTGGATGAAGGCGTTCCTTCCTCCGCGCCGTGCGCAAGAAAAAATCAGCGTCAAAATATTGTTTCCCTGAGTGTCCCGGGATTCTCGAGCTAAATGGCTAATTTAGCTGGCGAGCTAAATGCTGCCGTACTGAGGAAGAACGCCATATAAACCTTCAGGCGATGCCAAAGAAATATTCATAACTTTCCTCAAAAATGAACATTTTATCGAAGGAGATTCGGCGACTCTCAAATGTTCATACGTCGTTTTTCCTTAGCACGGCAGAATGGAGGACGTCAATTTTCAGAGAAACTCACGCATGGGTTCCCTTCGGTTCGCTCGAGGTAGACGAAACGACGTCACAATGAAACCACCCATGATGTGTGAAACAGTTTAAAACCATCGGAGTTCGGTGTGAATATTCCTTCGGCGGTCGGTTGAGGGTGGAGAGACGGCGTCAACTGGAAAACGGTGGAGTTGTCAACAAACAAGTTTTAATGAACTACCGCATGGAGCGAAATAACAACTGCGCGAATGCACGAGCGTTGCACTGCAGTGACGAGAGCAAAGATGTGGGGAGGCGTAGCGTGGAGGAACGGGAACTGGGAAGTATGAAAACAACCAACAGATTGCAAACAGAGCAAAGTTGAAGTGAAGGCTCAAGAGAAGTCAGCAAAGCCGGATTGTTGAGCACAAGCGCCCGACTTAGGCGCCACACAGTGAGTATTGCTTTATCGCGAAAATCATCCATCCGGGCCCACTGAACCGATGCCACGGGGAGATATCGCTGCGTATCATTTGCATTGAGTACTTATATACGGGAGAGTATTGCTATCTCTGCGTCGCTCTCTGATTGGTGCATCAGTTTTAGGCTGTCATGGAGCTCCAAAGTTTCCCTAATGTAAACAAACTCGACCTAGAGCACCTGTATCATGGACCAAGAGAATAAATAAGGACCCCCAACTCCGGTTAGCGCTGACATCAGCGCTCCCTGGCAGAGGGTGTAGTGAACTAAACCGATGATTGGGTCTTCCTGTTTATATTTCCATGCACCACCTATTTAGGCTTATCACTCAGTAGTGCTCATAGAAGTTTCTAGATCCTCGTATCCTCGTGGTCGCCCTGCAGTTTTGAAGAGTTTAGTGTGAAAAGTTTCCCATTTTCATTTCAATCTTCGTCAGTCTTCGTGTACATAAACTGGTATTAATGTGAAGTGTTATTTCTAACCGTTTTACTCAACAGCAACTGCTGTTGAGAAAGCCAAAGGAAGTGTGTATGTAGTGTGCAGCAGGAATCAGGATTGTACTTTTAGCCGAAGGCGCCTCTCTGTTAAGTGAAATCTTTTTAGTGAGAAATAGTGTTGTACTGATAAAAATCAACTGAGTGTCACAAAATCAAAGATACTTGACTTCAAGCATTACCTTTAATTTGATTATTAGCAAGTCTCTTTGATTCTGCGTCAGAAGTTGACTGAATCATCTTTGCTCGTGTTTTGAAAAGATACTTCAAATCAAAGTCTTTCGCATTGACCTCTGCAGAAGGTATGTATCTATACAATTTCATTAGTTTGCGAAAGTAAAATGTATTAAAGTATCTACACAATTAAATAAATCATAGATAAACAAAGAACATTGCATGGAATAACATACTATAGAGGTACGATCGTGGACCGCTGTGGCGTTAGTTCACCGCACCCTCTGCCAGGTTCGCTGCGAGCGCGCGTTAACGGTTTTTAACACAGGTTAGCATAGGGAGTTGGGAGTCCTTATTTATTCTCTTGGTCCATGCCTGTATAGCGAGAGTATGGACAGATGTGAAACTCCGAAAATCCATCAGGCCTTCATCGATGCTTCTGCAAATAAAGTTAGGGCCCAGAAATGCAGCCAACCTATGAATTTCAATTATCCAGAACGGTTTACTAATACTATTGTTACGAACCGTCGGTTCTGAAGCACGCATTTGACTCAGTTTTTGCGTGAATTTACTAGTTTTTACGGAGGAACGCTCATTTTTGTACATTCTTGGCCATCTTGGTTGGAATTGAAATCTGTAGGCTGGCAGTGAAATTTTGTGTGTTAGAAGTTGGTTACAAGGATGGCTGCACTTTTGGGCCCTAAGACCCCCATGAAGCGATCTGCCCATACTCTCGCTATACAGGTACTGTAACTCGACTAAGAGAATCACGATCGGCACACACGGCAAAAATATTCATCAAAGATCGATCCGAACTCAATCCAGAAGTTGATTATAAAAAAAATTTCCGTCACATCCAAAATCACGTCTAGAACTTTGTAGAACTTTTGTCGCCATCTTGTTTATTTACATTGGGCGAAAGTAGGAGCGTAGGGGCTAGGGTCTGTTTACATTGAGCCAACTTTGGGGCTCCATGATGGCTGACCAATCAGAGAGCGGCACCTTTTTTCATCAGTAAAAGGATTGAGATGGCAATACTCTCCCATATACAGGTACTCTGCATTTACACGCGACCACGTAAAAGAAGTTCATTGACATGGGAAGATTTAATGGGGGTCATGAGTTCCTATCACAATGTAAAAGTGATGCTAGCAAAGGTACACTATTTACAGTTCTGGGTAGATTTTCGAAAAAAAATAAATGTTTGTTTAATTCCTTAGACACTCTTGTTTGTTTCAGCAGAGAGGTTTTTTGAAAATTCGAAAAACTGAAAATTTCTCGAGAATTTTTTTTTTAAAAAAAAGCGTTCCAGCAGAGAGGATTTTTGAAAATTCGAAAAACTGAAAATTTCTCGAGAAATTTTTTTTTTAATAGAAAAAATTAAAATAATTTCACCCTAAGGTAACTGATTTTTTTTCTTGAAGAGTAGTAATTAGGGCAAATTCTCGTATTTGCAATCGGAGACTAAAATTATGAAACGGACAAAAACACGTATATCGATGAAGACAGATTACTATATTTCGAAGATTGAGTTTAACTCTTCAGTCATGGTACTTTCTTTGCTAATGAAATTGATTTTAATTTCACAGTGAAAAATTCTACCACAAGTAGACTTCTTCTTCTCAAAAAAAAGAAGAGAGAAAAAAAACTAGGTGCTTCCCTGATGAACTCGATCTACTTGTACTGCTGTTTTTTTTTTTTTTTTTTTTTTTTTTTTTTTTTTTTTTTTTTATTCAAAGAAAATAGTTATTACACGATTATTATAAATGGTACTCAAAAATCAGAAATTAACAATACACTTCAATAATCTTAAATGTAAGTAATTACAGTATAATTTA